TTTTTAAATACAAGCAGGGTTTTAGAAATTCAAAGGTAACCATGTGATGACATCACAAGAACACACATCAATGTAACTACTTCCACTGACAAAACTGACAGTATCAGAAAGATCAGATGCCTCTTTCCGAGAAAGAAACAGTGCAGAAAAAAGGGTTTCCATTTAATACGTTCATTACAGTTGCCTTATGAAGCAAAACGATACAAAACAGAGACACAGTGAGCATGCCAGGTAAAAATACTAGTCACCATATTACAATGTACTGCATATTTTAAAGGTATTAGAGCTACTACAAAATTGCATGTCTCACAACTTACATGATACTCCTCATACTGAAACAAATGAATGAGTAAGGAAAGGGGGAGGGGTGGAAGACCTGGTGAACACTAGCTGGGAAAAAAAAAAATTACTTTTACATTTAGCTTCCATTACTGTAACTCTGTAAAAACATATTTTGATAACAACACGTTCTTATTTTCCCTAATGTATGAAATACACAACTTCCAAGCTGGCCAGATACTTGGCTGAGTTGCACAACTACTTCCTACTCCTTCTGTAAGCACAGAAGCAGCACATATCAATTAAACCTCACTCCTCAAAGTTTCTGGAAAGGTTTAGACTATATGGCCCAAAGAACCAAAACTTGTGAAGTCACTTTTAACATCTGACCCTTGTTAGCACTATCTATCTATGCTTATAGATCATATTTCATTCCACTCAAATTAATGTGAATATATGAAGGAATACAGGATTTAACATTTGCAAGAAAGACAGAAACTTTAAAATTATTATGACAGTATTTTGTCAAGTAAGTTCAAAATAACATTTAGTGTCATATATGTAGCCACTTTTGAAGATATTTGCATAATACGTAAAACTTTTGCAAAACTGAAATTAAAAGATCAGCTACACCATCCAGAAAGTATAACATTATTTCTAAAAGTTGCAATGTATGTGCAGAAAGACTAGACCCACGCATTTACAACAGGCTGATGATTAAAGAGAATTACAGTTATACAGGTCATTCTATTTTCAATTCTTCTGAATCTAGACACTGTATGAGTCGTAAAAGATGTTTGTTTAAAATCTGAGTTTAACTATTCCTCTCTGTGTTTCGATGTCTCACAGGAAGAGGATTTTCATAGAATTATAAAGCTGAGATGAAAACTTAAATAGTTCCTTTTGAATCTGTTTATTCAGATCCAACTCATTCTGAGTACATAACTAAAAATAATCTTGGAAACTAGTATTATTGAGAAATTCAGAATGGCGCAGCTTAATGGAACTTTTCCTACTTTCATTATTTCTAAAGGCCTGGCTGTTTAAAGTACACCTTAGTTAAACACTACTTTTTTTTTTTTCCTATCTTCTTTATAACTAAGATACTTGCACCTTTCTCCAAGTCAGTTAACATGTACTAACATCCTGACTTCTTATCTTCCTGCCTGAGCATCCAGAAAAAGACAATTTCAAAATTCATTTGGCTGGATAAGAAAGCTTTGAAACACAGATTAAAAATTTAAGACTTTAGTATTTAAAAAAAGCAGACTACAAGCACTATCTGCAACACCTTTACTTTTCTTTACAGAAAAAAAGATCCAACCATCTTGTGTTTTATAGAACATCTTGTGAGATACTAGTTACAGAATACTTACTGCCAAGTATCTACTTATGTTATTTATTTCCAAATTAAAGAAATAGAGACCTGAAAGACCGTGAATATGTTAAAATTGGGTATTAATGTATATGGTGGCATAAAAGCTGCTGAAAAGTCAGCACATCCTATACACTGAAAGGGTGGACATGTGAAGTACAAAAACAGTTTCAGCACAGAAGGCAAAGGACAACGTAAGATAAAGCTTCTTAAGGGAGAATCTCCATCCACTGTATGTGCAGACAGAATTCATCCTGTACTCTCTTTCTTCAAAAGTAAATGAAGGTATTTATTTTTTCTTTATAACTGACATTTTTGTGGAAAAAAAAAAATCTCAATTTTTAAAAAGTACCTTTAGTAGACCACCAAAAGATTCTAAGTAACTGGAAAGTTTCAAAAGATCAGCATGAAAGTCAACTCTACACTTGATCTGAACCAAAATGTCTTTAAACAGATTATTCTGAAATTGTTTTGAAAGCTAACAGCTTATAATTTTACTCTTTACATACCTTACTTAAGACACGACACAAGTAACAGAAACTGCAACTTGCTACTTACACTGTCTTTTATAACATCAAAAAGAAAACATAAGCAATTAACCTTAAAATAACCATCTGACTTGTGGTAAGTTGATGTCTCTTCCTTCCCCACACAACACACAACACACCACCACCACCACCACCCCCATCCCCCACCCCTCACTATGAAAAGATCACCACATTACTTTTGCTGATTTTCCTGTTCTACTAAAACCAGACATATGTACCTATGGTGAAACAGGTTCTGCAGAGGCAAAAGCATTTTTTTGTTATTAAGTATATTTGTTTTTACAGTGATCATCACGGTATCCTTCTCCAGGAACCGTAGATCACATGAGCTGAGGTTATCAGTGCTACTAGAGCAATCATTCAAAGCACTGCAACGTAGGCACTGGCATTAGTTATTACCACTAGGGAAATTCATATTGGCATTACAATCTCAGGTGTCAGAAAGTTAATTTTTTCATCCTACAGTCTCTAAACTAAGACAAAAATTTAACTTCTGAAAGAATTTAAAAGTTAAAAGAAATTTCAGAATCTTATTCTTTTCACATTAAGGAAACATTAAGAAAATGCATCGTAATGGACAGATCACACAAATTAAATCCTCTTCAACGTCACAAAATGGAATGATCATACGTAAGACTACAGTAGTGTTGGAATGGGGACAAAACCAAATGATTCAAACATATGCCACATGAGCCAAGAACAGACGCCATGTCTCATTTCCTACTGTCTGCATTTGTAATACTACATAACAGTAAATATACCTGGTTAAGCGTGTTATCAGTCTTTAGTTCTTTATGATTGGAATACTGGATATAGATAGGCTGGTTACGAAGATGAGGTGTCACAGCAGAGTAGTAATTAACCATAGTGATAGCTGCTTCTTCTGTAGCAAGTTCCAAAAACGCCTGTAATTAAAGCTAATTTTCAGTATTTACAAAGCAGATAATCTTCATATTAGCAGCATATAAAAAACACTTGCAGGGTTTGATAACACATTTTAACAAATATCAGTCTTCAGAAGACATCATTCTCTACGTAACAACTTTATTTGCTTCACCTCCAAAAATTAATCTGTGAAGATGTAGGACTAAATATTTATCTTACAGCTAACTTTCTGCTTTATGTAACTGTCAACCATCCCCTTTAAAAAAAAAAAAATTACCAAAATATAGTATAAGTTCATAAAAAAAAATTAAAGTAGCAAAGGCTTTTTTTTTTTTTTAATACTTACTGTTACATGACTTCTTTTCAACAGCATTTGAACAGCACATTTGGAAGTTAGACAGTAAGCATACCATAAAAATGAAAAGCAACAAATTACCTGATTTTTCCCTTTCAGCATCAGGATGTTGGTTACCTTACCAAAAGGTAAACCTAAAGCAATAACTTCTGTTTCTGTCACTTCCCCAGGCAATTTCCTGATATGAAGAACACGCGAAGGAGCCCCATCCATTTTATCATCACCTTTGAATTTCTTGTTGTCATTACCATTGGCTGAAAGACATATTCAGACTCTATTTGAAAAGATGTTATTAGTGCTTTATTAAAAATGCCTTTCATTATAAGTGTGAGATAATGTTTAAGTAAGCCATCTCTTAGTTTGATCCAAATAAAATTCAAGGATTCTGAACAATTTCTGAAGAGACAAATGTTACGTAGTTTCATGAAAGGTAGACTGTTCAAGACTAACTCAACAGCCCAGCCCTCTGTGACAACCCATTCTCTAAACTAGACAAAAACAATTGCAAATCCTTTTCATCTCACTTTGAGTAAAGTAGCTCACATAATACCATATAAACATATTAACTTTGACTCCAAAGGGCCTGCTCTAAAGTACATTACAAAAAAAAAAATTAGAGGATATCCAGATTTTTTTTTGGAAGAGAAAAATGGTGCTTAACAGTTACTAGAAAAGGTCCTAAAGGAAAGTTTTAAGGACTGTTTGCACAAAGGAACCAGACACAAAAAGCAGAAAAGTATCAAAGCAAGACAGGAAGTATTACTAATGCCGAGAAGGATCACACTGGAGAAGGGGGATGACCACAATGACTGCTGTCACTAAAGCCTGACGAAATCCACCTCGCAATTTAAGGACCTAGTATAAAAATGTCTATCACGAACTACGAGCTCATCCATAGAACAGGAAAAATCAAAAACAACTAATAGACATGATACAGACAACATGGATAGGGGAAGAAGAAAAAAAAAAACCGAACCAGACAAGATTTTCCTAGCAGAAGCAAGGAAGCATTAAGATCATTGTACAAAGCACCAGAAAGGTACTATTTGAAATATTGTCCAGAATTCTCGTACAGAATTCTAGAAAAATTCCAGCCCGAGTTCTTTTTTTTTTTGAACATACGTAATACAGAGCTAGCCAGCTGGATGGAAGAAGTCTTGTTTTAGAAAGAAGTCCAGAAAAAAATTTATTTACATTAGTGAAAAGGTAATACAACCACTGCCTACAAGTATGTCAGTGAAGTAAACATCAGAGAGTCAAGAGCTAACGAACAAGACTGTCCTAAGACATATGGATATTAATGAATTAATCACTGCTAGAAATCAGAATGCACTTAGATATGAGAGAAACAAATGTTAAGACTTATTTTTTTTCTACTCCTAGCTATAAAACATGCAAGTCTGTATGAGCTATTCAACTTCTGATTTCATGTTTCAAGAGCAGTCCAATAGCTATCTATTTTCAAAAAACACATGAGCCAAGAACAGACGCCACAAACTGTGGCAAGTAGAACAGACGTCACAAACTGTGACTAGTAGAAAAATATTTGTCATTATTAAGGTTCATATTCATGGGTTAAGGGCTTATACCAAAGAGGGTTAAAAAAAAAAAAAAAAAAAAAAGTAGAAAAAAAAAAAAAAAAAAAGGAAAAAAAAAAAAACCACGAAGACAACTTCTACTTACTCTTCAAAAAAAAAAAAAAGGCACAAAAATAAATTGGGTGGGGGATATCAATAGGAAGCATTTATGTATGTTACATTCTCCAAAAGTCTTGTCTTTGTAAGAAAGCTGATGGCTAAGATTTCCAGAGGGAAGAGAATAAAAAAGTCCTCAATTATCACCTAGCTGTAACTACAGAATATAATTCTGAATCTGTGCCAGAAAAATAATTTACACCCAATCTGATTCCCTGCATAAAAATACTGCATTCATGTAATACCAACTTGAGCACAGAAAGTTTTGCTATATGTCTAAATCATAATTCAAGTTCTTACTTCAGTTTGCCTAAACCAAGTCAACTTACTCAAGATTAAAAACACAGGATGAAATGAACTCTTCTTTTTACAAGTCAAGAAACATCCACACTTCAGATTTGGATTTGAAAAGCCAAACTAGGTACAACATTTAACTTCCCTTTCAATGCTATCAGGAAAACTGGCAAACTTGGGTCTCTGACCAAACCTACAAACATACTTTCTACTTTTTCAAGAATAAGTTCATTCTCCATACTTCCATTATAGGAACTGATGGAAAAAGGATAAATCTATACATCAGGAAGTGTTTCCATGACTCCCTTATATCTTTTTCTAACAACTAAACCTTTTCATTCTAATTCAAATGTTTTTACCTTTCACTTCAGCTATTGATGTTTAAATTTAGCTAAAGTTCGAGGTATTCTCTTAAAAATAGTATGCCTTAGTGGCAGGTCATCCCGTAACTTCCCCCCACAATATAGCACTATCCTCAAAACAACAGACAGTCAAAGTTTATGAAAAAGTACTTTATTTTTCACCTGAAGCTCGTAACACAATAGTCTTCCCTAGTTCTCAATTTAAATCTCTACTAAAAATTAGAAAACCCTGTGAAGTGTGACAGGCTTAATGTATTACAAACAACCCATTACAAACAAACCTACAAAGAATAAAAGAATTATAGTGATACTGAAAGTAAATTTCCAGTGTCTTTCATATTCGAGCTTTCCAAATTATTTCAATTCATTACAAGTTTCAGAAATTAAATATGAAACATTAACAATGAGAAAGTGAAAAGGCAGTTTCTACACTAAAAGGTTTTCTGAAACTGATCTCTGCTTTTATTATGTCACCAGAAATATACCATGAACCCTCAGATCGGTACTTAGAGCTGTTTTGTCTTTTGTGTGGTTTTCAACATATAATTTTGACATATTAACTTTTCCACAGCATAATGTCCAAGAATACTTTTTTTTTTAAACTACAGCTTGTATTTGGATTAGGCTTTAAGTAATCCCAATTCTACTAGAAAAAGTATCATTGGCCAGTATACAATCGCTCACATATATATATATGTATCTCTGCAAAGAAATGATCCTTTAACAATTATTGCATTACCTGAATAAACTAGTTTTTCCATCTATCAGCACTGCGATCCAATATTTGCATTTTGCCGTTTTTCAGCTTTTGCTGTGGTAGGTTTCAAGAACAAATATAAAAGAAATACTTTGTTGTACTCTATACATATCTCTTCCTAAAGAACACTTAACAGCTTTATCTTGTGTATACAAGTCTCTCACAAGTTTATTTTTTAAACTACCTTAAACTGAACATCTGCTAAACTATTCTTTAAACTTTTTTACTTACTGTAAAAAAGAAGTAGATAGACAAGCACCTGTGCTAAAATGTTCAAGTGAAAAAGTAGATATACAAATACATTAAAATAATATACACAAAGAGATACAGAATTATGCACTAAAAAAAAGCATGGCAATCAGAAAAATATGGGGGGACGACGACACAGGATGTCAATAAGTATTCTTAATGCTATGTTAATGCCCAAAGAAAGTTTTCAGCAGTAGGGCAAGCAACCATGACAAAAGCTGTTTATTGTTTACTGGGCAGAAGCATAGCTTGCACAATAAAAGCTGAACTGGTAACACTCAAAAAAATGAAGCCCATCTTCTTACAAGTAAAATTTAACCCAAAACATTTAACGCTGGATTTTAAGAAGACAGAAGAAATTAACACAACATCGGTTATTACCGCTTTTCTTGAAAGCTAAAAGAACACGCACTGTTTCTACTTTTGATTACCCAGCTGGCATAGCCTAACGCTAATTTACTATTTCAATACTGGCAGTAATAAAGTGTGTGTGTGTGTGATACACTAAATATGCATGCACATACACAAATCAACTTTTGAAAACATTTGTGAAACAAATGAAATTTAGCTTTTAGAACAATTATTAAGAGTTTTTGGCACTGTATGAAACCTTTCGCCCTAACTTTAGTCTCTTATTTGCCATTTTAAATGCTACTTCTCAGCTGGAGACACATCATTAAACTGCATTTGGGAACAGAAAACCACATTTAAAACATGGAAACACAACTTATTCAGAGCCACTGAAAGGTGAATTCAACTACTGTTAAAACAACGACCTCATTCTCTAACAAACTGTATCAGCATAATTGGTGTCCATAAAGGTTAAAAGGCAAGCTAAGAAGGGCAACATACTAAAAGAATAACATAGGCTGGCATCAGAAATGGACTCTATGGAGATAAACAAGCAGCCCAAAAGATCCTTCCCTATACAGCAGGAGAAAGACAAACTTGCAGAAAATTGAGGGAGACGGGATGTTGGAGAGGGAATCCTCACAAGCCAACTTAACTACTCCTGTGAAACTGTTATTAAACCGGTAGCTTATTGGCAAGTAACTGTTTCATCGGGAAGTTTGGCTTTCACCAGACTTGAAAAGCCGGATCCCATTCAAACCTCCTGCTGCTAACACTTTTAACAAATATAAAGATGCACTGAAGAGCATAATGCTACAGTATCTACATTGGGGCAAAAAAAAATTTTTAAAAAAATCACCAAAAGAATAGCATGACTAAAAAAGAAATAAAAATATCAGAAATCTAACCCTAAATATTTGCAATACTCAGTTCAGACTACAAAAAAAAAAAAAAAAAAAAAAACCAAAAACCAACCACCATAAAAATCCTGTTCTGTAACAGCCACTGCACTGCTGTAAGCCCTCTTTGCTCTCCACCACAAACAAAACTCCAGTTTCCATGACATCAGTTCTCTATTTCTAAACAAAATATCATCTCTACAAATGGCATCCAAAGCATTATTCTCCCATCTAAATAGGATACCACAGTCTAAACGTAATTGATACATAAGCCACTTCCTTGTTGCACAGAGTTTAACATTGTGATCTACACTAGAGGAAACTGAATGTTTAAGAGTTGACAAAGCCGATAAAAAACAGCTTGGGTCCCTGGCATTTTTAGTTAGAAACTCCTATTTTATTAAACACAGAAATAGAAACTACATATGTAAGCAACAAAAGGAAACAATGCAATGTACACAAGGCATACTGTAAATCCACAGCCTGAACGACTGCATGCCACAAAGATTCAATACTCCCAGGTAGTTTTGCACAAAAACCTGATCTTTAAGTTCAGCATAAAACTCTTAGCAAACAGTGAATAGCTTCCTACTGATAGCTATTTTTGAAAACATATTTTAATAATGTTTCATCCTAGAGGAATTCTTC